TCTTTCATAGTTTACAACTTAAACTTCCTGTTAGCAAATAAGCTTTGTTATCCTAACGACGTAGTGTTTAGGCTTAATAATGGTTAAGTTGCTTCAAGTAATATACGTGAAAAGATAGTGTAAGTATATTATTAGACATTTTGTATAGATAATAAAAAATGCTGAAAATCTAAGAATTCTGAGCATTTGGTGAATTTAAAGCATTTTACCACCCACATAGACGAAGTTTACCAGAATATAGTCATATGTATCAATGTCGCGAAAGATCTGTTAGAAAACTGTGACTCGATCAAAAATGCACATGACACCCATCCATTGGTCAACAAGAAAAAATCATTTTGGCAGGGGTGCTCCAGCGCTAAAGAAATTTCACCAAATTAATACATGATCATATCATTCGTGATACAGATAATAGATTTTTTATTAATACATTTTGCAATTGCTTGTCTTCCAATTTTGCAACTCTGGCCTTAAGCTCAACATTCTCAACCCTAATTTTATCATTCTCAGCCTCAAGTTTGACAATGAATTTTTTCAATAAATCGGCCAATCTGAATCATCTATTTCAGATTGTATGCTTGTGTAATGTAGTATTAGTATCTTAATATTCAAAAATAAAAATCATGTGATTTTCCCTTATGACCCGTAAGCAAAATTTGCCAAGAAAAAATTTTATTAACTGATGCTTATCTCATACAAAAAAAATATAGATGAATATGTAAAAATAAACGGCCACTGGGGCACTTTATTGATATAGGAAAAGTAAAATACAAATTTACTATATACACATAACTTATTCAGAATCTACATTTGAACTGTTTTTGTTTCTCTTAGACCTAACTGGAGGTGCATTAAGTAGTAAAGACATATTTACTATTAGAATATTCTGTAAAATTAGTAAAGTCTTTACAAAATTTGTTATGATAGATGGATCTGATTGTTATACAGAGATTTCTGCTTCGTAAAGATAGTAATAATGATGTACATTTTCCATATCTCTAATGAAAACATTTAAACATATTGTTTGTTTAGCTACTTGCATTCCAATAATTCTGAATTCATCTTTATTTAGCCCAGATGATTTGTGAATCCAATACATCTCATCATTAGTTTCACGCTATAGCTTTATTTTATTATCTTTTTTTTTCTGCGATGTACAAAATAAGTGTAAACTTTCAACATATATGAGCTCATATTTTTTCCATCATGCTTCATTACAAACATGATATCTGGCCATTTCCTGCTCATCCTTTACCTTTCCTATCCGTACTAGCCAAACTTTAACGTTCAGCACTAAAAGATAATAATATTAATATTAGTTTAGAAGTTTTTTTTAGCTTGGCGCTCGCAATACAATTTTTTTCTAATTATTATTTACCTGCTGACATAAGATGACCTTCCTAAAGAAAGACCTTTTAATGTGACCTAAATAGCAGGAACTATTACGTTAGTCACATAAGTACTTTCATTTTGTGATTTTGCAAATTCAGAGCTAAAGGCAGGATTATTCCATGAATCATTTAGAGAACCCAAAATTCTTGATATGACGTCTGTAAGCTCTTCATCTGATTCTTTCTATTTCCTATTATGTGAAAATTTTTGTGGTAAAACGCTCATATTACTCTCAGTAAAGGTAATTACAAATTCTTCACATTTTTCTCATATAATTTATGAAAGTGATGAAGGAACCATATCCTCTACTGGTTTCTAAAGATAGCATAATGATAAATTAAAATGATGTCTAGCACTCAGTGTTGGTCATTAGACTGGACTGTTCCAGTGGAATGATATTGGACTAGACCGTCCAATCCAGTAGACTTTAATTAATTGGAACTGAACTGATATATAAAATTTAGCTAATCAAAATTAAACACATTTTAAATAAAAAATTTTTTTAATCGCCAATTAAAATTAAATAAAAATTTTTTTTAATATTATTGTACATCTGTATGCTTTTAATATAGGAAAGCATCGACTAACAATTTATATTCAAGTTCTTAATGAAAAAGCAAATACTTGTAATAAATTTGCTTTATATAAAGCATGTATCGATAAAGTTTCTCGTGAATATGCTTATAGTAATAAAATAGTTAACACAAAAAAAATGTGTTAAAAGTCAATTATCTAAGTGCAAGAATTTTTTTGCTATATATGGAGAGGAAAAAGGTTTAGAAATTCTTTAGGATACTGATAGTAAAACAACTAAAGCTCAAAATATTTCAAGCAAAAAACGTAGTAGAACTTTTTTCAAAATGATAATTTTATTATAAAATTAAGTGAAGATGAATGTGATTCAGATAATGAAAGTGTTATGACATTTAATTCTAATACCAGTAGCACTTATACTTCTAATACTACTTTATCAAATAAAATGGGAATTACAAGACCTCTTGATAACTTTGCAATACGAAAATTATCTACAAATCAAGAACGAAAATGGTGGTATTTAGTACTTAAAGCAACTATTTCAAATGGATGGAGTTTTCGTTGAGTTAAAAATAAAGATTCTCAGGAAATGTTTCATTTTCTTAATCTAACACTAAAGCTTTTACATAAAAATGATTAGGAGGAAAAATTTTAGAAAATGCAAGCAAAGATATAATTAAATCAATTGAAAAAAAGGCACAGGCTAATTTAATTAGTGTATCATTAACTATCGATGGATGGACAAATGTAGTAAATCAAAATTTAATAGGTAGTGTATTAATTACATCTAAAGGTAAAGTTCTTGTATGGAAAGCATATAATATAAGTACTGAGCGAAGCAAAACAGAAAAAGTAAAGGAAAAAATTGAATCTTTAATTAAAAATGTTCAAGATGCAGGTATTAAAGTAGCAGCAGTTATTACAAATAGCGTATTACAGTATGCTAGTGTGCGGTATGTAATATGTTAATAAAATTATTTAAATTTTATTATTTTAAAATTTTTATATTAATTTTTTAATTAAATATTTTATTAGACGTGTTCTTCAAATTATCAACCCAAATATTGTATATCTCCCATGTTTTGCATATCAAGTATATCAAGTCAATTTATGTATAGGGGATATTTTTAAATCTGATACTAGTCTTGCAGCAGTAGCGAAGAATGCTAATAAAATTGCAACTTATTTTACTTCAAAATTGCATACTTATTTTATTGGAAAGTTACGAGATGAACAAATGGAACAATATCAAAAATTTGTTAATTTAATTCCACTGGTGATACTAGATGGAATAGTTATTTTTATTGTTTTGCGAGTATTATTAATACAAAAGAAGCACTAAAGGTAGCATTTATTTTTCAAAATTTACAAATTTATTAATTTATTTTATTTATCATTATTTATTATTTAAAAGACATTAGTTGCTAAATATGAGCTATCTGATGATTCAGATGCTTCCACTTTAAGAAAAAATAGAAATGATGAACTTAAACTTCCTGTAGATATATGTCGACCAATTAATGACGATAATTTTTGGTGATCAGTTCGTAATCTTAAATATATGCTTTTGCCTCTTTGTGGATGTCTAAATATACTTCAGCGAGATAAGGCTTATTTATTTGAAGTTCTTCATTCATTTGGATATTTTTATGAGCTTTTTAATAATTATAATGATGATATATTATCTAATCGAATGTGCATTCGACTTGAAAATCGCTGGAAAACATATGAACAACCTTTATTGATCCTTTCATTTATTCTTCATCCTGATTATCGAATTAACAAATTTAATACAGAACTTCCAATATGAATTGGGTTGATGTGAGACAATGGGTAATATATTATTATTGTGCATGGAAACAAAAAGAGCCAGCAAGTATTTTACGTGAATTTGGTTTATATCAAAATAAACATTATCCTTTTAATAATACAACATGGAAACAATGGAAAAGAGATGTATTACAGTATTGGATTTGGTGTTCTGAAAAAACAAAAGAACTTGGATTTATTGCAAAAAGAATTTTTGGAATTGCGGTTAATGCTGCATCAGTTGAAAGATTATGGTCCGCGATGGGATTTTTTCATTCTGCACGAAGAAATCGCTTAAATGTAAGTTAATTTAATATCATTATTGAATAATTTTATATGAATTAATGATAATTTTTTAATTAGCATAAAAAGGTACTTTCAATGGCTCAAATTCGTGGTGTAATTAATCAAGCACACAGAAATCAAGAACTCGAAACAATAAAAATATGTATCATTCTAATTCAGTAAGAAATATTGATAATGAAGAAAATAATAATGATAAAAACAATGAAAATAAAAATCAACAAGATAATAAATCAAGTGAAGTGGATTCCGATTTAGATATAATTGAAGATAATGAACAGGTAATAAGAGGTGGAAATTGGGATACAATTTTAACTACATGGAATAAGATGTTAGATGCAGAAGAAAATGCGGAACGTCAAATGGAATATGAAGATATGCTTGAAAATAATATAATTTTGGTGATGACATAGCTTCAGCTTATCTTTCTAACTGAAATCATCCTCAGAGAGATAATAATGCAAAATGGGAGTTGGGTAAATTGTTTAGTGTTGATTTAGATCCTCCTAAATACTGTGAAAAGCTTTAATTACTTGTTTACACATAAATTCATAAAATAATAAAATGAACCTATAATAAAATAAGCATTGTCAGCTCACGTAATATTAAAATTTTAAAATTGACCCAGGGACCCGGGGTTTATTGTTTATTAATAAAAAAATTTTATATGTAAATCGTAACAATGTAAAAAAAAGAGAAGATACACCAAAAAATGACATAAAAAATTTTTTTTATAATATTAGATATAATTCAACTCGAAAAATAAATCATAATTTTCGTCTTGGTTAGTCTTTGCGATATTCATAACTTTATGCTATAATTTCGTTAATTTCGTCGTTTTAATTTTTATTATTTATATTTATTTTTCCGATTATTATTTTACGTAGTTTTAATTAATTAGCGTTTTAGTGATTAGCATTTATTTGAGTTAAACACAAATTTAAAAGGTTACCTGATCGGGTGATGTGAACTGAAAATTTTATATTTTATTAGACTGAACTAGACTGGACTGGTCCACTGGACTTAATGTTATAGTCCAATTTTCTAAGTGGACCAGTCTAATTAACCAACTAAAATTATATGTAACATATTGGAACTGGACTGGAACTGGACTTATAGTATTGGACTAGTCCAGTCCAGTTATGTTTTTTTGAACTGGACTTAGTCCAGTGACCAACACTGATTGGGATGTAGCAAAATGGCTGCTTATAATGTTTCTTAAACGCTTTGTCACTTTCACACCAAAAAAAAATTAGCTAGCCGCCCACCACTCTTTAACACACCAACTAGACAAGCTTAAAACCTTTGTTCAAGAAAATGCTGAGAATCGTTAGCTTTGTTCAGCAAAACTTGCAAAATTTTGGACGTTCGTATGAATAAACCCATTTCTGCAATCACTATATATCGTAATCTTAAAAAAGTTAGACTTGGTGCTCGTATGCCTTATCACAAACCAGCAATGATAGAAGCACCTTGTCAAGCTCGTCTTGATTGGGTCCGTACACATGAAAAATGGACAGTAAGACAATGGAGAAGTGTGCTTTTTTCAGATGAATGTACTTTTACACAATTTCAACAAGGACATCAAGGAAAAGTCTGGTGTGAACCAGGAGAAGAATTGAATCCCTGATTGTATTGCAGTTACTGTAAAACACAGTCCTAGCAAAATTTTTTTGGGTTGATTTTCCTTGAATGGACTTGGACCAATTGTTTCTTTAAAAGGTATTGTTACTGGTGAAACACATGTTAAAATAATTCGAAAAATTGTTATTACAAAAGCATATTTCTCGTGGTAATGGATGATAATGTTGATCACACCGTACAAAAGTTGACAGTGCTGCTCGTGAAAATGTTAAAATTGGATGCTTCTGTGGCCCGAACTTGAACCCGATAGAAAATCTCTGGGCAGAAATAAGTCAATGGTTCGACGTCGCACTCCCCACCATCTAATATTTAAGAGCTTGAAAAATATGTTAAAAGTGCTTGGAAAGACATTCCTTCAGAATATTTATCGATAGTAATCGAAGCGGTTATTGCCGCAAATGGCAATAGAATTAAATATTAGTATCAGAATTTTTTTTGTAAAAATTAATAAATGACAAAAAATGAATATACTTTACCTTTATTTTATTTCCAATATATGTTTTTTTTTGTATAATTTTTTTTTATTTGAAGATTCATCACATAAGATTGAAAGATATGATATCTCTTAATAATTTAGACCTTACTTAATTCGCTTATTATTCCTTCCACCTCATATTCAGATCGATGATTTGTTACTACTAACCCTGAGCTAATGAAAATTCTAATTTCCTATTGATTCAAATGATTTTCTCTTAAAAACTTATTCCATGTGTTTTAATCTGTTCACCGTTGGAAATAAAAAATATTCGATCAATGCAATTTAAATTCGGAGGGACAAAATTCACTGCAATCCGCTTCTGGTCGAGTCAAGGATGAGGTTTGTAATTACGTGTCTCCAATTAAGTCTACCATAATTTATGATTATTATAAAATGATTCTTTTTATTGGGATTATTCGTTAATCTTTTTTTTTAAAATCAATTCTTTCTCTTAGGATATTTAATCTTTTAAAAATAATTCTTTTTTTTTTAGTATATGGGAGGTTTGCTATTAAAATCACGTTACGGATCATATGATTTACTATGTTCGTAAACTCGATTTTAATAGCAAACCTCCCATATATTCTTTTAATAATAATTCTTTGTTAAAGATATATTATTTAAAAGAAGTAAGAGAAGTGATTTCCAAGTCATTTATATATACGGTTTCACGTGGAAAAACGGTAACTCACGTACTTGGTAAACTATCGAATACAACGATTGATATTTCTTGTCTTTGTCATTTTTAGTCAGGCCTTGTAGATCGATTTTGTCATGCTCACTAAAAAAAAATTGTATATATATAGACGCACCACAATAAAAGAAAAATATATATATTTTTTAATTCTACTTCCTAACATTACGCGGATCTTTGCTTGATGACTTTCTAATAAGCATGCTTCAGAAGACCCAATGTCACTAGTATATCATATTATTTTTTTATCTTATTATATAAATTTAAAGACCGGGATAATGCTCTGCTAATAATTAATGAAAGGTGAGAACTTGATGAGAATTAAGTATAAAGTAAAAATTAAGTAATCAATATTTCTATTAACAGGTCGGCAGCCGGTCAGTTAAAATCGTCGTTCAAACGGATGGTCGGCTGACTGACATTGACCGAATCACGATAAAGAAAAATAATAGCGATATGTGAATTAAAATAATAAAGGTATTCTATATTTCTAAACAATTTATATTGTATACTTTTTATTGGTGATTTAATCCTTGGATTCGGCCATTACCTGTCGTGGAAACTTTTTCTTAATCATCATTTACCTCGTTATTCCCACAAACATTCAATAAAATCCCAGGTAATTGTATAGTACTAAGTTCTAAGTTGAAGATAATTCCAAATCACCAAGAACATGAAAGACATTTATTAACGACTTTAAAAATAACGGTTCCATTAGGACCAGTTATAATAACGCTTTTACCACATATTGGATTTTCGTTAGGATTAGGCGTATTACCAACTGAGCGACATTATCGATATGACCTTGATGAAAATTGACCGCATACACCTAAACACGGTTCATAAATGTAGCCCGACCTGAAAAGGAAAGTTTTTGATGGTGAGAAGAAAAGGTTCTGAATAAGAATTGTTTATGAATTATCAGAAAATCAGGTTTTGAGATTATAATGAGTAGACTTGAAATATTCGAATAAGTAAAAATGTAATATATGAAACTAAAGATGCTTTCAAGTACTATTTAAATATTTTCAATGAACTAGTAGGATTTTTTTCTGTAAAAATTTGTTCGGCTTAGCGAAAATAACCATTTATGAAATTTCTATTTGTAAATGGGTAAAGGAAAAACAAATAAATTAAAAGGGTCTTTTTGAAAGATTACGAAAAGATTTTTTTTTCTGGTAATCTTGAATCGAAAAGCATGATAATTTTCCGTTATTCATTAAAATCATAAATTGTTTTTCGTATATAGAATTGTTTACAAGTAATTAACAAACTTTATAATTACTGTTTGCAAGTAATTTATGTTATTGTTTAATTTTATTTGTTAGTATAATTCAAATGTTATAATAAATTTGTTGTTCCTTTGGTTCGACCCGTTCATTTTATTAGGAAGAAACTTTTTTTTTTGTACACCGAACCAATGCCGAGTGTTTACATTTTAAAATGTGGGGGGAATCACCTCTTCATTGTTACAAATCCTATATTGATATCCAAAAAAGAAAATATACCCGAGTCAGTCTTCTTTCTCAACCAAATTAAAATTTGTTGTTATTTAACAATGTCAGATCTGAAATTCTTTATTCCTATGTTTGTTATTTCATTATTTGTAACTTATATTATAAAAAAAGAGAAAAGATATATCTAACATGACAAGTAAGTTTCCCTCAAAAATTCACCTAATATTGCAATTATCAAAATTTTTAATCAAAAAAAATCAAATATTTTTCTCTCTTTTCTTTGGATTGCCTAAAAGGATGTAACAAATAAAATTTATTCCCATTTCAAATAGTGAACCGATCTAGATACGGACAATAAAGGAAGAAAAAAAAGATATTGCAATGTATTTTAATTATCGTTAATTAAACTACATTTATATACAATAGTTATTATATGAGTTGATTACAAGCTCTGCGATAAACCCATATGAAATAAGAATGAAACGAGGCTCGCTGAAATTGTGATTTAATAAGTAATCGATGGAATTAAAAAGTTTTGGAATATTCTTTTGGAATAAAAATTTGGAGATTTAGAATTTTCGGTTTCTTTGTTTGAATGGTAATTATTGTTATTCATTGCTTAATCCTGTCTTTGATTTAATCGACCTTTGCAATTGGAATAATTGGAATACAACATTAGCATAAGAATGAAGCACAAAGCAAAAAAAATAGACAAAAGTAGACAGACAGCACGACTTACAAAATATGATTATTTATCATTCTTATTTTTATCGAAATTTGGCCTACATTGAGAAAAATAATACCATCGCCATAATTCTATATGCAATATAGACGCTACGAATTACTAATTTTACATATAACAACTACAACCTCTTGGTGCTCACAATTCCCGAAGTTATCCTTTTTAACGTATTCGTGGTTTCATTAGAAACAATTTTATAATATATATAATATTGATTTCTTATTATCTATGTAAAGCTATTAAAAATGGAAAAAAATGGAAAAAGAAATATGAAAATTATATTAATGTTTTTAAATTATTTTGTCAAACAAATCATAAAATAAATGATTTAAATTGTAAGCAATAAATTATGAACAAACTATAATGATGAAGCAGTAATGAAATTATTTTTAAAGATATTTTATAATAATCAAAATACTTTAAGGTATCTCAAGTTCATTCTGACCTTCTGGGTGAAGGTTCGAATTACAAATATCATCATCATCTATAAATGTAAACATATTAAATAAAATGT